TATGCTTGTGGTGTGTTGGCTTTTCTGTTTGTTTTCCATTTCAGCTCTGTCCGTGTGACCCAGGTTCTCGCAATGGCATCCAAGTCAACGTGTATTGGTCGTGAAGGAAAAAAGGGTTGGATCCCTTTTTTTGCCGGGGAGTGTCAATGCAGTTGAAGATTGAACGATCAATTCATGGTTGTTTGCTCAAAACCAACTTCCCTGTATTTTCGCGGAGGCATCAATACGACAGTCATCGTCTCATCGGTCGCTGTTCAGAAAGAAGTCAGGAGACAACTGTCAGAAGTAATATTGTGATTTATTATTGTAATATTTGTTCATTGACCTTAGTTAAAACTTCATTTAAAGCTGCCTATATGTTGGTGTTACAATAAAGAATTCTCGAGTCACCAATCGGTGTTTTGGTTTTTTCGTCCGTTATTACTTAGCGTTTCTGAGAAACTTCAAGGAAAAGCGTGAGTTTTAGTGTAGCAAGAGCTGGGCATTAACGGTTTACGAGACGTTGCTGACAAGGTGTGTGCGCATTCCTTTATTTCTTTATTCATGACAGGCCAAGAAAAGTGATTATTTACGAGCTTGACAGTCGTTCGGATACCTGGGTGAGATTAGGCATGCAACGTATTGAAGATGTTAGGGCGATAACTTTTAGGCACGATGGGGAGAGGAGTACTCGTGGTAATGTCGCATAGAATAGTGTCTCTTCCCATACCCAACGGTTTCTCAGCTAATTGTAGAGTTGTTTTCGACAACCCATGTTGAAGCTCGGTACCTTCTTTTTGAAGACGAGCCAGTTTTACAAGGTCTATGCCGTCGATTTGGGTGAGGGAACAAACGCGCGACAAGGCATCTGCCACAGTGTTGTTTACTCCGGATACATGGCGAATATCTGATGTAAACTGTGAGACGTAATCCAGTTGTCGTGATTCCCTGGGTGAATACTTATCTGAAGGTGAGTTCAGAGAGTACGTCAGAGGTTTGTGATCAGTAAAAATGATAAATTCACGACCCTCTATTGAATGTCTAAAATGTCGTATAGCACAGTACATAGCCAGAAGTTCTCTGCCGAATGTGCTGTACTTCGTTTCAGCTAATTGAAGGCGCCTCGAGAAAAAGGTGAGTGGTTGCCACTCTTTGTCAACTAGCTGTTGTAGAACTGCGCCGATTGCAGTGTTTGATGCATCAACCGAGATACTTAACGGTGCCGTTGGATCCTGATACATCAGAAGTGTGGCATTCGCAATAGCTTTTTTAACCTGGGTAAAAGCATTTCGAGCAGACGCGTCAAGTTCTATGGACTTGTTATTCCCTCGAAGGAGGTCTGTCAATGGCTGAATCAAAGAGGCACAGTTGGGAATAAAGCGTCGATAATAACTTACTAAGCCGTTAAAAGTGCGGAGACTTTTCACCGTCTGTGGCTCTGGAAAGTTCAGTATAGCCTCGACCTTAGTAGCCAGTGGGCGAATGCCCTTGCAGTCAATAGTGTGACCCAGAAAGTCGAGTGAGTCAACACCGATTTGACACTTTTGAATATTAATGGTAACACCATGTTGGCGTAACCTTTCAAATGCCAAGTCCAAGTGCCTAAGGTGAGTTTCCTTGTCTGGACTGGCAATGAGGCAGTCGTCTAAGTATGCGTATACAAAGTCGAGACCGCGAAATACTTCGTCAATGAAGCGTTGGAATGTTTGGGCTGCATTCCGGAGACCGAATGGCATACGTAGAAATTCAAAAAGTCCGAAAGGCGTAATGATAGCCGTTTTCGGGATATCTTCTGTTGCCATCGGGATTTGGTTATACGCTTTAACCAAGTCGATTTTGGAGAATATAGTCGCGCCGGATAAGGTTGCCGTCAAGTCGTGTATATGAGGCAACGGGTAGCAATCAGGGGTTGTTTTGGCATTCACTCGCCGGTAATCACCGGTGGGTCGCCAATCATTGCTATCCTTTTTCGGAACCATATGAAGTGGGGATGCCCATGGGCTATTCGAAGGTCGAATGATGCCAAGGCTAAGCATATGGTCAAATTCATTCCTGGCGATTCTCAGTTTGTCAGGAGCTAATCGTCGTGCTTTAGATGTCACAGGTTGTCCTGTGGTAATGATGTGGTGCATAACATTGCTGGTTATGCACGGTAGGTCGTTCGACGGGCAATTAAGTTCCGGATACTTGTCAACAATAGGTTGAAAAGTTGGATCAAGAATTGCCTTTATCTTAACGGGTGACAAGCTGGGGCCTATGTAGCTGATGCCTTTGATAGACAGACTAGTAGTATTGTCAATCAGTCGTTTTCGGCGGACGTCTACGAGTAAATCATGATGATTAAGTAGGTCCGTGCCAATGATGGGCATTGTAACGTCAGCGAGAAGGAAAATCCACCGAATAGGTTTGCGTAAACCTACGTTCAGATAGACGTATTTCCTACCAAAGGTTGCGATTGGTTTTCCATTTGCAGCCTGTAAGTTGAAGGTAGGTTCCTTCTGTCGATCTGCTGCTGTAGCAGGAAGGACGCTGACTTCGGCGCCTGTGTCGACTAAATATCGAGTCTGGCTTATCACATCATGGATGTAAAGAAGGCGGCTAGTGCCACCGGCGACGGTTGCCGCTAACGCGTGCCGGCGGGATAGTTTCCCACAGACTTTGAGACATTTCCGAAGTTACAAGGCTTACGGCAACACTTCGCTTCTTGGCCATAGGTGTTGTGGTACCAGCACCAGTTGGGGTTTTTCAGTGAACGTGGTTTGGACTTAGATCGACCACGTGAGTTCCTGCGTTGAGGAGATTTAGGACGACGGTCGGAGGAGTTAGAATACATGTTCGACCCAAACATCTGCTGGATGGAGTTGCATAACTCTATCATTGCAGGATCCTTACTCGAAGTCTGCTTAGTCATCGAGCATATTTCGGGAACTGATCGTTTAGTTATTTCTAGAATCCTATCTGCAGTAATAGCTAAGTCCTCTATTACATTACCCTGAAGTGTCACAAGTACGGTCTGTACAGACTGTGGCAACTTGTTTAAGAAGTGTTCTCTGAATAGTCCTTCGTCGAACTGACTTTGGCCAACGAATTCTTTCATTCTTGTCAGCATGCTCACGGCTGACTGATCTCCTAACTCGATGTTACGAAATAACTCATCTAGACGTTGTCGGTCCGTGAGAACGTTTCTCCTGAGGAGGGATGCTTTGAGCAACTCGTACGAGTTACTTACCTCGGGACTGAACATCTGTGATGTTACGTACTTGCTGAATTCCCGCGGTAGAGCGCGAATAACTGCAAGTGACTGTGAACGTTGATCGGTTATCCCATGCTCACAAAAATCTGCTTCAGCTAGCAGAAACCACGTTTCAGCATTATCTGGCCAGTATGGTACGAGCCGATTGGTTTTAGGAGTTGAGCGGATGCGGATGACCTTGGGACTAAGATCACTCATGACGAAAATTATGTCGAATAATATATGGTACAAGAACAAATACAAAATTGAGCGAACTCACCGGGGTTATCTGCGGACTTATCGTGGATGAAGTTTGCGGTTGGGCTCACTGGTTTAAGGGTTTGATGGAATTATCTTACACCGCCTCTAAATTATTCTCGCGTACCGAAAACAAAGCAAAAGCCAATATTTGATCGTCCAAACTAAGTGATATATTTCGGGACCAAAACAAGCCGTCAGACGAACGCTTAGCTAGCTAGTGATCGTGCACGTGACACGACGGGGTACCAAATGGCGGGGATGCTTGACCGGAAGCCTTCAGCTAAACAAGTCGACTTAAACAGTGGTGGTCAGCATCCAATGAGTGATTGTTGTGGTCAATAATTTTGGGGAATTATTTACCGCTACAAATTAATCCTTCAATCTTCAACTACATTGAGAAGCATCTTTTCCCTCACATGTTGTCTACAGTGATGTCCGGACCCTGTCTTTGAACTTACACACCTTCACGCTTCCGTTCTGAGGAAAATGATAGTTATTTTAGGAAGTCAGCTCTTATGGGATTAAATCTCACTATTTTGGATTCAGGTTTCTAATTATGTGATGTCGAAGACAATATGAAAACAACTGGGAAAGCGTACACTATTATGTGTCTAATCTGGTGAAAATGACTTATATTTGAGGTTTTTCGAGAAGACTTAACACTTGGTATAGGATGGCATTTCCAGTGTCATGTCTATAAGAAATTTATGAAATCATATTATCAAACAAATGAAATAAGATAATAAATTATGCTTCAATCCACACTAAAGAGTAATTTCTTGGACCAGCAGACATCCAACGTTGACAGTGCTTCCTCGCTCATGGTTTGTTGAATCCCGTTAGATGTTTATTGTAAAGCCTTGAAAGCTTCCAAAATACAACCAATCAGTCGGCAGTCGATAGATCAGGAACATCACAGGTTCACGCTTTGATCTTCTCGACTCACGTGAATACAACTTTTATAGTTATGAATATGTGTGAATTATTTTTAACTGATTATTTTATAGCGGACAACAATTCACAGGAGTAGTCTGATATTTTCTGATTTCAAGGACAGTCAAAATGCATCCGTTGTTGAAACAATTTCCTTCTTAATGCTACTGTGTACAAATTCATATTCAAAATTTCCAGCAACTCCACTATGATTTGCAAAATTTACATTTATATGCTTTAATAACCTTGGTCTTTTTTACGAAACGGGGGTTCGAGTCCCCCATCTGGCGGCGGCTTTTCGCGTCAATGGCATAGCGGTAAGGACACTCGCCGACCATGCACATGGTCCGAGGTTCTATCCCCGGCCACCGACGCACTCCTTTACCTCGCCAAGCTAGAAAGAATGCTGGTAAAGAGGAAAGGTTGGGCATAGGGCTAGCAACCCCATCCTGAAAAGTGTACACTGCTACGGAAACTTCAAGCCACTGGCTTAAGGCCCTATGTTCCACTGGGAAAACGTGAAGGAAAAATTATTATTTATTATTATTTTTACGAAATGAAAATACCTTATATGTACAAAAATACATGGGTAGGAATGTGGGCATTAGTTGTCAAGGGACTATTTAGTGGTTGGAGGTACGCTTCATTTTAAAATATTCATACTTAAACTCCGTTAGCATTAACACCACACTTAAAATACAGTTTTCCAAGATTTAATCATGAAAGCTTGGAAGAACTAAGCTTCTGCCTTGTCAGTAGCACACCGCTAAGCACGCTTGCCGACCATGCGTATGGTCCGAGGTTCGATTCCCGGCCGATGCACACCTGATGTCAATGGTCGGCCTGCCAAATTTGGGTTACCGTTATCGCAGACTGAAAATTCCAAAGATGCGCCGAAATACTGTGTGGAATCAAGCTTATATAAAAACATTTGGGACAAAAATGTGACTTATAAGCAATTCACAGATGGTCTTCTGAATTTCACTAAGAATAGTTATTCTTATGTCCATGTATTTTTAAATAGTATTTTGTGATGGATATTAGCACTAAATTGCAACTCTTGACCTGATACAATATAAAAGAATCACCCTGACCTCCTATTGAATCACTGAAAGCCGTTGACCTTGAGAAGGCAAATTCAAATACGGTTTTATTAGGCAGTTCTGCTTACATGTAAGGCGTTCGGCACATTGTCTCTTTTTCTGCAATAAGCTGCAGTCTCCTTATATTTATTTAAACATTTCTTATCAGCATTTCGGCTGCAGCATGTTTTTATGTACTAACTGAGAAGTAACTTGTACGATCCGAGAACAACAGGTTAATTAACCTTGCTTTTAAAAGCAAGACGAATGCCAGTAAAACACTTGGTTTCTTGTTCTTTACCCTGTGAGAATAAAGTGTTGCTCGCTGCAAACTTTTAACTCATTTTGTGGACTCATTGCCTCGTATCTATACAGAAGTTTGCAAATGAGGAATACATGTAGTAGGTGTCTAATATCTCGAATATCTGTGTTCGTGAGATCCCTCATTATTGCTTTCCTCGTATCTTAAATCCTACGTAAATGTGTTATTCCGTTTGAAGTGAGAGTTTAGACTGCCAACTTAGAACTCACGGTATTTTCAATAAGTGAATGAATACATTATTATATTCATCTTAAAAGTTGAAAAGAATACTAGTCACATTGTCTTAGCTTCATGTTACAGCTTTCACAGTTTAGCTTGCATAAAAATGTTTTATCCAATATCGTGAAATCGGCTACAAATTTTGCTTGTTCTTCACTCACAAAGATGTGGCATAGTTTAATATCACACCCACCTGTTTTTAGTTATGAAGCGTAGATAAAACATAACTGAGATGTTTAGATCTCAAGAGATTAAAATCCAAACTTCCGTGAGTTCTATTCTCACTGAAGCTTACAGTGAACTAAGTAAATATGACTGGTGAGGTAATTAGTGTAGTACACAAAGATGTGAATTATTTCGATGTTCAGCTAAACCTCAGATTCGTGTTGGCTACACGAGTGATGATACCGCGACTGCTATCAACAGAAAATTTGTGATGCCATTATCCTTTTATTAACTTTAGATCAAGATTCGGGTCGACATTCACAATCCATATTGAGGTTTGTCCTCTTAATGACTCATCTTTTCGAACGAGATTCCTGTCTGAGTTGTGTCACCATAGTGTGTACATAAAAGAATGAAAATTGATGCAAGACACTTAAGACTGCCGTGTTCTCTTACATCATCAGCAGAGTCGTGAATGCTAAGTGTACAATGTTTGCTGCCTTTGCAATCTCTGCCTATCTTTAAATGGATCGCAACCTCAGCTGAATGATCCTGAACAAGCAAGCTTGATATATCACGGGGCTAGCTGGGAACCTTTGTTTAAGAGTTAGGGGTCTAAGAATAAGTTGAAGCTGTTTGAATAATCAGTAGGGATTGAACGATCGCAGACCAAATAATTAAGACCGTCTTCTGCAGCTCTGTACAAATCACAACCTATTTCTAACCACCGCCTTCGGTACAGCTATAATTGTAGCGACACGTAGTGACATCCCTTCGCCACTCATGAATACTCATCACATTGCTATCCACTATCTATGTGGTGTATACGGGACTAATACTCCTTCTTGAATAGGTGTCTGAATTGTAGTGCTACAAGTCTGTCATCGTATTCGGTGATATTAAGGTTATTTTTTATTTGTTGCTTGGGAACGCTGATTAGAAATATCTATTAAACAGGTGTTCCCTCAAAGTTTATCACCTTCCTCATAGCCCAATAACAGAACGTCTCATGTAAAGTACAGGTGGATGATGAGCTACCTCTATTTCTAAACCCAGTGTTTAGACCAGTTTTCCTATCTAACCATTTCTCTTTCACTTAGCCATCGATGAAATTTTAAAGATAGCTTAGAATATGTTGTGCGGTAGTGTTAATATCTATTATCTGGAGAAAAACGTTTTAATCCCCAGTCTGTAAATGATATCGTCTTGCTGTGCAATAACACAGGCCACCTAAGTCATCCATAATCACTTGGAGGTTATGGTACATACATCAGTCCCTTCAAGTACATATTTACTACTTCAAAACTAACAGTTCATAGCGTCACATGCTTTGACAGATGAAGTAGTCGCGTCCACTTATGTGAGTAGTTATGTGTGCTGGTGGAGACATGACGGATGAAATTTCTAGTCACAGTGAAATCCTGGACGGCGTGGTGCAACCTGGGACCCACATGGCTTGTTACGGTGTTTCTCTGGCCGTCAAAGGTCGAGTTTTTAATGCTTTGTTGCGCTCATTCTTGCCATATGCCCATTCATCCGCCTCTGAACTCAGGATCTTTATCGACTTCGCGTGCTTAATTATCTCTCCTCAGGATTGCTTGCATCTGGTGGCGTTATCGTTTTATTAATTCCGAGATCTAACAATGTGTTTTCATACATTCTGATCAGTTTCGTATTAGTTATTTCATTTTGAAATACCAGCGCTAGTTTATGCATGCCCTAGGACGGGATTGAAAAGGTTGAGTAATAGTCAGCCCATTATGTGACGCCGTGAGATGAAGGACAGTAGTGCTGGGTTATCATCTGTGGGTTTGTGAGTTCATGAGACTTATGGACTCAAGACGGCATCGTATATGGCTCATAATCGAAATCAATGGTGAGAATATTACACTTGGCTCTTTCCATCTCTTTTTGAAAGTAAGACGAAGTTATGAATGCTGATTTGAATAATCTCATATTTTTTTGTTCCGTTTGTTCTGTCAGTCTTTTATTTTTGTTGAACTGTTTTGTGCAGTGTTCTGCTCTGTCCTCATATTGTACTAAGTACATGTTTTCAAATTAAAAAATGGTAATGTTCGCCAGATAGTAAACGGTTAATTTAAGATATCGCCTAGATCCATATACAGTTGATGTGTCTGTTACAGAAAAACGCAGCGGCCAACGAAATGAACGTTGTGCAAGGATGTGAAAGATTTGAAATTCGGATTCACTTTCGACACTAGGTTGACATCATGTTCACCACGCGAAAATAAGGGAAGACAGAAAAATAAAATTAAACTTATTTTCACAAATTCTCAGTCTGATAACATTGCTTTCGCGTATTTGTCATTGGATTTCCTTTAGTTTACATCATGTTTAGTCTTTATTGTTGCGTTATGGAAAACCTGTTGCTTCTCTTATTCTGTTTAACCTTTAAGTCTCCTTTTATGCTGAACTGCCTATTTGTGGGAGACGACTGTTCTGAAATCGTAGTCGTTGTTCAATTCTGCATTTTGTATTCCGCCTTTGATATATATATATATATATATATATATATATATATATATATATATATATATATATATATATATATATATATTACAAACAGTGATTTGAAGTAATTAGTTGAGCGGTGGCTAGCAGTGGAATCCAGGATGCGCAGTTTGTCCCATTCTGGACTGAATTGTCAGCTGAATATATCTGCGCTCCCCAGTGAGCTATGGTGTTCCAGCTGGGGAATGCAGGTACATCCGGATGACGAGTCAGTCCTAAATAGAACAAAATGCGCATCCTAGATTCCACTGTTAGTCACCATCCACCAAATTACTGCGAGTCAAATCCTCACACATCGAAGCATCCTCACAAGGAGCTGACATATCAACGGAGACCGAACATTTCGGTTCAAAGGAGAAATCCAAATTGAATTAAATAACAAATCGTGATGTTTGTCGCATTTTAAACATTCGCATACCAGAGAAAAACAAAATGCTGTTTATGGTACTTCCCGTCAGCACGGAATTTTGTATGTGTTAAGAGACCGTGACAATTGCTTTAATGTATGCCTAAATGTAGGCTTAGGAGCAGATAATTTTTTCTTCCTCTAGGGTTCAAGAATTGTCTCAACAACTTAATTCATCAACCAGCTTAGCATTCCTCATAGAAGTTTATCATCTCGAATTCAAAGTAACACAAAAAGTAGAAACGGACACGTACAAAAGTGACACAAAAAGTCGATTATTCACATAGGTTTTCTGACTTTCAGTATTTCTCTTTGTTGTTTATGCACTTTTATCGTTTCTACAGTAGGCAAATTAATTGTGGTTTCCGTCGAAATAAATGCAAGTGATTCCTTATCATTTATGGAGTTGAATATGATTCACATGGGTATTTTCTTATTTGTAGTAGTGAAGAAGTATCGCTGTCTGCAAGAAAAAAACACTGCCAGCCTAATAGAATTCCACGTCCTTAAGTATCGTACTGAAAGCAATTGCCAGTGTGATTCTTGTGTTGCATTAAGGAACATCGCTAACTTTGTAACACTAGAAAACAACAAATGAAACAGTTTGATGGTCTTTAGTATATTAAGGTGGAAAGTTCCATGTTAAGACTACTTTTCTTTACTGAAGACCATTCAGACGATGACTAATTAAGATAGGAATAATAGTTATTATTTTGTGCCATTTAGGTTCATTATTGTATACTTATTTGTTTACTAGCATATCATAACTTCATGTGACTTGAATTTCTTCACAACTACAAGTCCGATTTTTTCTTTGATTTTATTCCAGATGTCTGATGCCGAATATATTGCTGACGGACCTTTAACTGACATAGTCGGAGCAGATTGGGGAGACGATACATTACCTTTCGAACTTATTTTGGTCAAACCCGATTCTCTTCCTGATCCAGAACCTCAACCTGTTGGTGGTCAGCGGTGTTTTGAAGTCCCAGCTTCAGATTTTTTTGACAGTGTTTGTTGGAATGAACTTGACCTAGATAATCTTCTTACACGTTTGAATCCTCCGCTTACCTTTCATTCATCACTACCATAGTTTTGTTATTTACTTGTTTTTATCCCAATCATGACAGTAACATGGTCCAAACTGATATGTCAGGCGGAAAAGTTACTCGGAGGTCCAGCTCCATTCATTAATTTAGCCTCCATACTATCCTCAGAAGCTGGTTCCTTAGCATCTCGTGCACGCCGCTTGGCATCAAATGTTAATCATCCTTTTTTCTCTACTGTACGATCCTGTCTTCGAGGCAAATCTGTTAATAACTTATTCTCCATTTCCTCTGCTATATCAGACCATTTTTCTCCACCAATAATGTCCGAACGTCCTTCTGGTGGTCTGATTATACTTTTAGTTGGTCAGTCATATGCTAGTCCTACAAATTCAACAAAATTGTGTAATCAGCACCGAAGTCTGGCAGAAATATTTGAAACGGTCCATACTGCATTAGCCATTCACAAGTTAGTTGTCATTCCCGTTCATAAATATGAATATTGAAGTCTGATTTTTTTCGTCGAGCAGTAAAGGTTGTGTGCATAGTTTTTAAATGCTTATGTATTTACCACTTACTGTACGGTAATTTCAAACAATCAAAAGCGTGCAACTACAGTCTTGTTAAAGGAGGTCATTTTACGCCCATATATACCTACTGTCTTTTTGTTACGATTGTTCACAAAATTGTATAAATTACTCAGAATCAGTTTTGGCTCGTTACTTGGGAGGGATTTGGATTTTATCAAGGATGACATTCACATATATATTTGCATTTCCGGCACCATCACGTTAGTAATACTGTCCCATTGAAAGAAATTAGCGACTTGGAAAAAAATCATGTTTACTAACTTTTCTCAACATCTCTCTAATAATGGTCTTCGTGGTTATATACTTCTGACGAAGTTTTCCCGATGAAATATCTGCCATGTTATCTACTATCACTCTTCTAAGTTTACATTAGTTATCCTTCAGATTGTGGTCCCCAGACCAAATGTGCTTTTCTCAATAGATAGTAGCTTCAAGTAATGGGTCAAGCATTAAAATTTGTCACAGATACACTTATAAAGATAGCTTTTGGTTCTTTTGCGGTTGCAATCATTGATGTCTCCAGAGATATTTAAGTCGTTTTAGAGGCCACAATTATCCCAACGTCCAAATTTCTATGAAGTAGTGTGATGTGGTTAACTTGTCTAAAAAGGCGAAACAACCTTGGTGGGCAAATAACTGACAATATTTTAGTCTCAGGGACTAACTTCTACCAAATTACGAAGCTTTCGAAACCAAAGCAGCCGGAGTTACCAACAGCTGCAAAAAAAGCCTTATTCTTCATATATATATATATATATATATATATATATATATATATATATATATATATATATATATGCATATATATATATATATAATTGTAGAGCCGGAAGGGGAATTTATCGAAAAGAATTATTCTTTGCTCGATTATTTTGTGCTTTCGAAATTGTTGAAGTAGCTGAACGACCTCTAAACACTAACTGTATCGCACAAAAACCTCTCTTCAGCTACGTGGTTGCGTCCACTGCGTACGATGTTTAAGTGGTTTGCTTACTTTCATAGATAGATCTTTGATAATATTATCCTTTAACGTGGATACGCTGACAAAACACAGTCCACTAAACACCGAGCAAAAGTCTGGGTATTTTTGGCATGTAGTTAGCCACTGTTAGGTGTAAAATGGTTTTACGGGACTGGTGCGTACCGACTCCTTCTTTAAGGATAACGGAACGAAGTGGTCGGATGTATAGACCTTACTTATTTGAGAAACTGCATCAGCTCTAAAGGATCGGTTGCTGAGTAAATCTGAGCACGGATAAAATATTATTGTTTTGTATTTGCCATGTTTTGCATTCAGATGGAAATCTGGTCTTTCGTAATCATAATCTGTCACATAATATGTGATCCGTAGATGGTCTTATAGTGCATTTTCGAGTTAAAGTGGTGAGCATCTTAATATGTTAATACGAATATTGTCGAAATGTTGTATCAACCCTTTGTACTGTCAACATTTTTATCTTTTACATTCTAAGTATTTCTTATTTTTACATTTCTGACATTTTGTTTACAGAAGCCTAGTCGATTTAGATGATGTTACACGAAAGACTAATGACACTGAAACGTGGATGAAGAACATGGAGGTAGCTAATAAGTTGGCTACTTTATCAGGCGATGTGTTGCTTGCGTCAGTCTCCACTAGTTTAGCTAAACTCCATCATGCCAAAGTATGTCGATATACTTCACTATCCTTCGATACCAATTTCACTTGCTTATTTATTTAAAAAAATTAATATTGTCATAGCAGTTTTCGGTATGCTGGAATGTCTAGGTTTATATGGAAACATTTCAGGATCGACTATTGGCACTATTACATAAGTGTTTTGGTCTAGTGAGCATCTGGTGATTCTAAAAGTATGATAATATATACGTCATATCACTACTATCACTAAAGATGAACATAACTTATTAGTTTTCATCATTCGGTGTTTATTCTAACAATTTTTTAAAATTTCGCATTCCAAGTGGAACTTAGGGTCTCGACCTTGGACTTAGAATTTCAGTAGCAGTGGTGTTCATTTTTTATGGTAACTTCACGCCCAAACTTCCCTCTTTACTAGTCCTACTACCGGTTAAGCGAGGTTTAGGGTTGGATCGGTTTGGAGTCGAACTCTGGACCACTTGCTTGGTTTAGGAGTGTTCCACCACTAAACCACTGACGCTTTTCGGACAATTAGTGGTGTAGATACTCAAGCCAGGCTTTTATGTCGACACATTTAACCTCATACTATAGTGTCTCGTCTTTCAGCTTTGTTGGTTTTCTTCTTATGATTCAATATAATGAATGTTAATCTAATGAAACACCTTAAAACTGCAAGTAATCTCTTCGTCTTTCTGTCGAGTTTTTAAATGACCCAGAAGTTCTTATGGGTTGTGTTTGAGGTTGACAGAAAAATTGGCATGATTTGAACTAGTAGTACTCATAGACAACCACTTTGGTATTCAACTGACACACTGGTTTGGTGTGCGCAAAAGCCTTTATTGTATACACAAAATAATATAGAGAGAACTTAACATTTATTTTAATATTTTTGATTACAGCTTGATTCCACACTGTATTTTTCGTACAAGTATGGAATGTTCAGCATGGATATTGGTAGCCCAAATTTTGCAGGCTGACCATAGATATCGGGTGTGCGTCGGCAGGGGATCGAACCTAGGACCATGTGCATGGTTGGCGAGAGTCTTAACCACTAAGCCAGTAAAATTGCTTTTATTACATAACCATCGGTGCTATCTTCAAATATTCACTATTATATCTTAGAATGATTACTTACATGCTTTCATCGTAATATTTGTAAAGATGTAGCTTATCGACTCAAACGCGTGAACTTCACTTAATCCACTTAACGTCTTAAGTTCATTTATCGGATATTAAAAACTCGTAGTCTGTTACTCAGAAACCATTTGTTCTAAATTATTATTATTATACTCAGGCGAATGAATTGTGCCATATTCTTATCACCAATTACACATAACCAACTAATAAGAAACACTTTTCAGTTGGGTCCCATTTGAAATAAAAAAAATTCCTGCCAAAGACTTCAAACAGTGTGCATGATTCATGCTTAAATATAGAAAGTGGAAATTGTTTACTCTATTCTGCAGAAAATGGTATCATTCACGAAAAAATGTGCCCCGGGTAACAAACCTATAAATTACTAACATACTATCAGCATAGCGTTTGGATAAGAATGTTGAAGTTATACGAGCATGTCCAACCCTCCTGTGCCTATCAAATGTTTTGTTAGATAGTCTATGAGTTATTACTCTGTGTATTTAGCGACCACTTTTGTTCTTAAATTGTTATGGTACTCTTTGTCTTCTTTTCATTCGTTTTCTTCCAAATATTATCCTTACCCTCATAATTTTCTCCTCGTCTTTGCTAAATGTTCATTAATTAGGCTGTTGATATTATATCAGAAGCTATGGGAAATATGGTAGAAGCTGAATTTCATGAGTTGGCTCTTACAAGTACCATTGATGTTAACCATACAGTTGAAAATAACCTGGATGCCAATCCAATTCATTTATCACCAACAGAAAAATGGCTTTCATTTGTGCAATTATCACGTGGTGCTCTTTTGGGTAGTTGTTGTGAGGCTGCTTTACTTCTTGTTGAAAAGCATATATGTAATTCTTCCTCTATACCAATTGAGTTAAATCGAGATTGGAATAAAATATCATCAACTGTCAAAAGTTTTGGATCAACATGGGCATGTTTAACACGATTAACAGAAGAAAGAGAACATATTCAGCGTACCTGGGTAAGTTTCAGTAGCTTCTTGCTGTATATTTTAGAATAGGAAGAGTTTGTACACAAATTAGCCGTTAGTGTGCAAGCAAAGTTATGCTAAAGTGTCTTTCGCATGTGTCTCTTTATTCTAAATTCTGAACTTAATGGTAATAATAACTCTATGCTTATCCCTGCGCACAAGTTCAGTTTTACATGAGGGTGGAGATAGTGTGGGTGACAAACTTTGTCACATCTGCAGTGTACCTTCGGAGTGGGATTACCTGTTTTAAGAGTTATATTTTCCCAGCTGTCCAGAGAAAAATCTACTTCAGTTGTTAATATCGAGATGTCATTGCTACCCATTTTATTTTACCCTTACGCAGAATATATATTATTATTATTATTTTTGATTATAGCTTGATTCCGCACCGTATTTTTGGTACAAGTATGGAATGTTCAGCATGGATATCGGTAGCCTAAATTTTGTAAGCCGACCATAGATATCGGATGTGCGTCGGCAGGGGATCGAACCTAGGACCATGTGCATGGTCGGCGAGAGTCCTAACCACTGTACCACCGACGCACACACACATTTGAACTCTGTAGTATAGGGATTCAAATTTGACTTTGACCTAAAAATAAACAAGGAGAATTAGCTATTTTAGACTGTAAAATAAAAATAAAAAGATGCTCATACACCAACGTCTATAGAAAACCTTGACTTTGGATTATCTCACGCCTTATCAGTAAAGGCAATGGCCTTTAAAACTAAACAAGAATTCTGGAAAGTAAATCGGTACAATTTACAAACTATAAAGATTAAAGGGTTTTATTGACCCGAATAGAGAAAATAACCTAACCGTCAAAATACCTTTCAATGACTGTGAGATCCATTACACCTAAGTCCATTCAGTAGATCACAGTCGTTTAGGCTATCAAAGCATTTAGCTATGTTCAGGATGATAAACACTAAAAAAAATAAAAATAAACCTAATATGAAGGGTGCATTAATACACAAAGATGTTATGGTGTGGGGGAGAAATATATTTCACAGAAGTGTGATATAGTCAATTGGAGGGAGAAGTCGATTACCGAATCTCCCTTTAATGAATCCATGTCAGACCGTTGGATAAGAATAATGCAGCTACGATACTATAAGTATGAAAAATACTATTTAAAACAATTAGTTCCCTTTATGAATTCAGATAAAGCAATAAGAAGACGTAATTTGTCTAAATAGTGTAATGTGTAGTTGTGCAACACTCATTTCGAACAATCTGATCCATCACAAACCGACTTGTCATAGGAATATATATGAAATTAATAAAGAGGTAAGATGTGAGAAAATAGACTTGGGTTAAGTTAAAAGGACACATTCAATGTTAAAATAACAATGCAGATCACTAGACTAAATAACAGAGGTAATAGTACATCTACTATGGTATCAAAACAAATTTACCTAGGAAGGTTTAATGTGATGACGAATTGTTTTTGAACGCATAGAGGTGGTTTAAACTTTCTAATTGCCAGGGCTACCATAAACTTTAGGATACTCCCCAAACACATTTTATAGACAGGTGTAAAAGATCTGTTAACATCAATTTTATGTCCTGTCTCTATAATATATAATAATATAATAGATAATGTAAAGCCAGTATATCTATCTAAGCCCTTCGAACATTATATCCCACTGTATTTATCAATTTGAATGTGCGTGTAGACACACATACATAGGAAGGACTCGTCGGTTTCTGCAAGTAAGGGCTTCAGAGCATATTCCTAAATGGCTCCAGAAAAAAATGGAATCGTCAGAACCCATTAATGGTGAAAACAGGAGACCTAGCTCTTCTATTGCGAAACATATTATAGAGACAGGACATAAAATTGATGTTAACAGATCTTTTACACCTGTCTATAAAATGTATTTGGGGCGTATCCTAAAGTTTATGGAAGCCCTGGCAATTAGAAAGCTTAAACCACCTCTGTAGTGCGTCGGTGGTATGGCGGTTAGGACGCTCGCCGATCATGCACATGGTCCGGGGTTCGATCCCCGGTCGGCGCACTCCTTTACCTCACTGAGCCAGAAATAATCCTGGTAAAGAGGAAAGGTTGGGCATGAGGCTAGCAACCCCATCCTGTAAAATTAAAAATGAACACTGCTGCAGAAACTTCAAGCCACTAGCTTGGGACCCTATGTTCCACTGGGAACGTGAAGGAAAAATTATTATTTATTATTAAACCACCTCTATGCGTTCAAAAACAATTCGTCATCACATTAAACCTTCCTAGGTAAATTTGTTTTGATACCATAGTAGATGTACTATTACCTCTGTTATTTAGTCTAGTGATCTGCATTGTTATTTTAACATTGAATGTGTCCTTTTAACTTAACCCAAGTCTATTTTCTCACATCTTACCTCTTTATTAATTTCATATATATTCCTATGACAAGTCGGTTTGTGATGGATCAGATTGTTCGAAATGAGTGTTGCACAAATACACATTACACTATTTAGACAAATTACGTCTTCTTATGGCTTTATCTAAAAATATTATTACCAATAAAATCAAAGAATAAAAAATAGTAGAGCTATGTAAGAGAAAAAATATGTAAGTGCCTGGATCTGACTAAGGGGGATAAGTTGTACTCGTAACGTTTTAGCGTCCTTATATCGAATAAAAGCATTCTCCTGTGGAACTTTACCCTACTAAAACACTCAAATTCTATTCTTATCAATAAAACGGTACATTTGCGAGGTCAAAAAGTTAGTATGGTGAATCACATTTGGATGATTGAGTAGTGGTAATACTGTGGCGTGTGGTGCTGATAAGATTTTATCGGGAGTATATAAAAATACGTTAGTCGGCATAAAAATATCAAATAGTGGAGTGATAAACTTGAAGTCGAAGAGGGCAAATGAACTGAAGTTACGGTAAAACATGGGAGACGTGAAAAGAAGACAGAAACACATTACGAAGGGCAGAAGTATCACAACACTACAGATTTGTGCCAATGACCGATTGCAGGTAAAGTGTACATAATTCCACCATATGCAGATAACGGATTCCCCAAGTCTGTTGCCTCTTGCCGTTACAACATAATTCATAGGTTGTGAGAGCTTTGAATTGTTGTTCCATAGTTTGTATAATAGCTGCAGTATTGTTCAGGTGCTATTATCCAGGTAGGTTTTTTGTTGACTAAGAACACCTTGGAGTTTTTGACTCAAGACAGTGGAGGAAAAGCCAGTAGTCACATTTCTATGGTTTCTAGTAACTGAAACACATTCATGATTTATTCATTCTGTTCAGCATTGACTCGAAATTCACCTCATTTCCTGGTTTTGCGATACCATGTTGTTATTCTGTATCACACTTTTTATCTTGACACATCATTGTCATTCAGATGGATTCATACTTGTGGTACATTGCGCATTATTGTCTTACTCTGTATTTCTCATACTAGGATACATCATAACTTACATGCTTCAACCTTCTTAGCCAAGAATATCAGCTGCAAAGTAGTAAGGTTGATTTGTATAATGTACACTTTTCTTCTCTACAAAGTTTCATAAATTGTCCTCGTAAAGCTAATTGATTTTCCTTGTTGTTATTACTTTTCTCAAGTTTACTGAACTCACAGCTGATACCTATCAGTCTGTAAAAGGAATACAAGCGATGAAAAGAAATGACTTCACACCGTCTGAAATTATCCCAGACTATACTGAATTCGGTTTAAGTGAACCAACTTTTGCAGATGCCATCCTCTCCTGTTCTACATCGAAAACACATCATAAACTGAAAGATATTGTTGATGAAGTTTTATCAGAATACAACCAGATTGGATATGAACTAGCCGGAGAATTACGTGAATATTTTGCTCAAATCGTTTCTACGAATGCACAAATCAATGGTGATAGTTTACAGAAAGTTAAACACTTACCCGGTGTACAACTTTTAGGCCAGATGGTGGATAAACTTATTGATGATTGTAACTGTACACCCTGATATTCCACCCCCCTTCCCTATTCTATTCACTTCCCTTTACCATTTCCAAGTAGTTTCGTGTAAATTCTTACTGATAAATGTTGTCAAATTCTTGCAAATGACCAAATCAAGTGTTTTCTGAGTATTTTTGGTGTGTGGTTAAGCTGCTGTACATCAATTCTGTGTTTAAGATGAGCGGGTAGTGTGATTAAATATATATATTGAAACTATTTTAATGAACTTATTGCTGACGAAATATTAGCAGAGACAGAAAAGCTGATTTTCTGTGTACTAGCTTCTGTCATCTTTGACACAGAGTTGATATCCATCTCCCTATAAAGGGAAGTTAGAAGTAATCTCAATCCTTTTTATCTGTGAAAGAACCACTACAATCAGAAGACATGTATGGTTCATAATTTTCTACGTTCATTTTCTTGCGTTAAATAGAACAAAATGAGTAAAATTAAAAGTCTTAGGGTATTGTTCTTTAAATGAAATCGACATATATTATGCAAACATAACATGAACTAAAACACATCGATGACAAAGTTGTTCATGGTTTCGTGCATACTGTATTTGTCAGTTACTGTCAGACTCTTCTGTTTGTATTTAAAACAAGTATCCACAGTTGATTTGCTATTGTTTATCTTTTAACATGGAAATTTGCCTACAAGTAGATAAACTCGCTTAGACAATCTACATCATACAGACAGTTCAGGCTGAGTATAGTCTCTAATTTATCATCGTATGGCTCATTTTAATGTATAAGAAAAGTTGTTTTCTATGGAACTAACTTGCCTACACACGAAGTACGCATAGTTATGAGCCTTTATTACTTTGTCTTAAGCTTTTCAGCTTGATGAAGAGCTATGATGGACAGTATTGAGTGATAAAGAAACACTTCGGTTATTATTATTAATGTTATTACTCAGACTAATATACGGTAGGCAACTCATTTATAACAAATCGGGAATGAACAAACAGGCCAGAAGTACAGAATTTCTCATATTCAGCCGTTCTAATAATAATTTCCCGAAGTGGGAGCACTCAGAAATTACCCAGCATATCAATGTAATTATCTTGCAAAGAGTGTATCTGATCTGAAACCAGGAGAAGCAGGAAAACCCGACGGGATGACTTCAGAAGTAATGAACTACTGGTTAAGGTTGATTAAGGTATTAGAACCCGAAAGGGAAGCGGCGTGTGGGACGTCCAAGGGTGACATAGAGGAGGTCGTGTGAAGAGGAGTTGAAAGAGTATGGACTAACATGGATACAGGTGAAAAGTACAGCAGAAGATAGAAGCAAATGGAGACGTGCAGTTGAAGCCCAATGTTCCACTAGGAACCCAAGGGAGCAATAATAATAATAATAATAAGGTATTAGACAATGTGTGGGAATTTGAAACTAGTCCTGCTGGATCGGTGTAAATCGTTGGTTATCCTAGTTTATAGTAATAATTATAATAGCTTTGCGACAAAAAATATTTTTAATAGTGTGGAATTATCCGTGTGCATTAGAATATCGTGTCTAATGTTCTCTTCACACTGCATAGTGAAAGCAAAATAATTTATGATGCCGACGATAATCATATTAGTATTAACCTATTAGTGTGCAGGTGTAATGACAATCAGTAGGAATAGTGACCATAATACTTTAATAACAGGAAGAACCGTTTATACTCACTGATTCCCAACAAGTTAGTATTTTCATACCTAACACTTTTCACCAGACAAAATGCATGCCAAAAAATTATCCTTTTCTTCTAAGCACAACCCTTTCATAACTGCTTCTTATCCTACTTAAGAAGATGGAAAGATGCTGAGACCCCGAAAAGATAAATGTTACTACTTTATTGTATGACTTCATGTTTGATAATTCTACTATCATCGAGTTCTGTTAGAGATAAACCAGTCATTATACCGACAGTTGTTAATGTACAACCACAACCAGGACACTAGGGACCAAAGAACAAAAAAGCTCATCCTCAATAGCTCTACACTCACATTCATATGCATAAGTTTACATATATGTAAGCTTAGTTGTAAATAAGTCACAACTACTATTTAGTTGAACATAATAACGAAGGCAGATTAAAGATGATAATGTTTTTCAGCTTGAAATGAAAGCTTCAAATAGTGTGGTGAGAGCAAGCTGCTAGCCGATTGGTTGACACTAATCTACGTTAATGTCTATGTCACTAATATGGGCCGTGAGAAAATATGAACAAGGCTGTTTCAACAACCAATCACAGCAAACTTAAATGTGGACAAATATGATTCGCAGATAGATGGCTCTACTTTCCGAGAAATATCGAAAACAACCAATCATAAGACTGTGTTTGTCTGCTTAACTTACGAGAAACAACCAATCAGAAGACTGCCTTTTTCTGCTTGCATAAGCCTTATTAATGCACATAAAATATATATAAATACGTGTTGATTTTCGTAATTAAACGATCTGTTGCCAGCCCTTGTCTTCTGTTGTTACAATAGGACCAGAAAACAGTTGCATAATGTGTGAAATAGTTTTCAACGATGATAGGTGAGAACAGGATGTGCATTGAAACAAGTTGAAATGATAGTCTTTTAACAATTGAAGATGAGAAAATGAATGGAATAGAAACGGAAACTAAGGAGTCAAACAGAACTAGGTCCATGGTAAATGTAGAGGTTGGAGTAGTTTCGTTTGACCACATAGCTCCGACTTTTCGATGTCTATGCTGAGAGCTTCTGCAGTACACGGAATTCGGGAACTTACTGCCTTGGGTAGATTTTTGTTTACTTTGCAATTGGCTGTGAATGGTGAGTCAGTTGAGATGCTGACGAGTTGTTCAATTGTAGAGCTTGTGAATAAACTAGTAGGGCCTATTTTCAGCCCTGTTGGGTAGTGTTCTCCAACACATTTTGAAGTATCCAGCTCCAAAGGAGCAGGTGATTAAATTTATGCACATTGGAGTGGTCATATGTGGGAGTTTGTCCTTCACATTGGTTAGCGTCAGTGAGTGGCTGTAGAACATTACTCCTGGTATTTCTGAAGGAAAAGTGATCTTTAGGCAACTAGAAGTTCTCTTCTTTAGGATATCTGCCGCTAAGGCTCCTCTGAATTCTAGGTTCATACACAGTATTTTCTGTGGCATTGAAGTGCATTCTTCTCTTCAGAAAGCTGGTAACCTATGAGATATGTAACATGACTTTTCTAAAACAGAGTGTTCAAGCCTACTACCAATAAGCTTCACACACTGATTAGACAACAGATAGGTCTAGCCAGAACGCTTGAAGCGTCGGAACAGTGGTTAGGACTCTCGCCAACCATGCACATGGTCCGAAGTTCAATTCCTTACCGACGCACACCTGATATGTATGGTCGGCCTGCAAAATTTGGGCTACCGATATCCATGCTGAAAATTCCATCCTTGTACCAAAAATACGATGTGGAATCAAGCTGTAATAAAAATAAATAAATAAATAAAAAATGCTGACGTATGATGCATTTCTGAGACCTGAATACAAGATCCAAATTAATTTCTCCGAATATTCCACTCGGAAATTTGAATGGTGTTTTATGTGTGCCCATCCAAGAACCCTGTAGCATCGATAACCGGCCCAGCTGATGACAGTGTCATAATGAGCAGTACAGACTACATCGGACTACATAACTGGATCACTATCAACAATCATTTGTGTACTCTGTGGCTAGAAAGCTATGTTAGCGTAAGAAGCCACCATGCAGAGAAGTATTGTCCTTTCATCATCTCTGCCTATGCACGTGAACGCGTTTAAAGATGAGTTCTGCAAAAAAATGAGTGATCTTCTGAAGCATGCGTATCCAACAGATATCGCAGTGCTAGGTGAGGACTTTAAGGATCATGTCAGACATTTAAGCTTGGTGGAGAATCATCTATGTGGTCAAAGGGGACTGCATAGTAATATAATGGGTACTGTCTTCTTCAGCTTTCTGCAGATCACAACCGATTTCTGTCCGGTAGCAACCACCGAAACATAGGCTGAAGTAGTACTGCCTGGTGTCCTCCTTCTGCCACTCAAGCATGGACTTAAAAGGATCCACTGATATCAGTTACCGATAATGTATATGGCGAAATGACTGTGGTTGCTTATCGAGTGCATGTTTGGGTTCCTATCATACTTCAGTGTTTGGCATGTTCATCTTGTGATATGGTGGTAGTCATAAATGTCGACCTCAGCAGGTTGACGTAAACAACCAGGATCTGCTACTGTTGCGAAGTATCAAGGCTAGATACTAACCGCCCACATAACACAAACGAACAATAGCTACACTTACAAAACGTGGTGAAAGTGGAAAGTAAAGATGCTTGTGATTTATAAGAATCGCCCACTAAAAACCACTGTGTTCCTCCCAGTTTCTTGTAACTTTTTGAGAATCTCCGATCCATTCTGGTTGATAGAGGGTATAATAACCCGCTTAGGACTATTACACACAAGATTAAACAGTGCTAACTTAAGGACTAAACTCGCCTAGTTCACGTTCCAGCTCCGGAAACATGGAAACTGAGCTCGGGGTTAGCATCCCTGTTGCTTCTGTAACTTTAAAGCACAGAGGAAAATAAAGGTATTCTCTTCTGGAGTCCAGAGGACTCCAAAATTCGAGGACGAATGACACTGGGGAGTGAAAGCCTTCATGCAGCCAGCGACTGACCAGGTTCCAATAATGGATTTTTGCTCAGAAGGGCAGATATTCAGGTTGCCACATAAACTGAAAAGGAACTATAATGAACATAAACATACTGGAAAAATAATAATAGCATGGGGAAACATTTATCTGAGAGTCTAAAAGGGGTGAATGAATATGTGCCACTGAGAATGATGTTGAGCTATATAATCAATAGTGCCAAATCACTGATTCTTAGAATCCAGTCGGCCGATTTGTCTTTGTTCGCTAAATGCAAAAGTAAGCGTGGGGTCAAGCTATCTATATCATAGTAGAAATGACAATGTACTGTGTCAAATGTTCACCCATTTATTGTTCACTAGGAGTCATCAA